GTCACGAGAGGTATTAAATGTTAGTTTGGAAACAATAGGTGTATCCCCCATATAACTTCATGGCACTCCAAAGCATCAACGGCTATCTGTTGCTAAAAGTAAAGTTATAAAAATAATGTCAAAGTATGAAGAGCATATTTCAAAAGTATATAATGTTAGGGAAGAAGAACTGAAACATAAAATTCCTCATACGAAAATTATTAGCAAAAGTAAATGTGATGATTTAGACAAACTAACAGCAGAAATAAAAGAAAAGTTAATTGTTTCTGACCAAAAAACTAAAATTCAGTTGTTAACATTTACATCCGAGTCTTGGTCAAGAAATTTTGCTGCAAGATATTTCAACGTCACTATATACCAAATTAAAGAAGCGTGCAAACTAAAGAAAATAAGTGGGATTTTTTCAGTTCCAGGTACTAAGAAAGGAAAAACATTTTCAGAAATAACATTAAATAGAGTCAACAATATATACCATGATGAAGAATTTACTAGACAAATGCCTGGTAAAAAAGATTATGTAAGTATTGGTAGAAAACAACACATGCAAAAGCGCCTTATTTTATGTAATCTTAAAGAACTTTATGTTTCTTTTAAAACTAAATATCCTCAAGAAGTTATTGGATTTTCTAAGTTTTGCAGTTTAAGACCAAAATGGTGTATAACTGTTGGAGCATCAGGCACTCATTCTGTTTGTGTATGTACCCTCCATCAAAATGCAATACTCTTGACCAATGCTATACAAATGAAATGTACTTACAAAGATATGATGACAAAAGTTGTTTGTGATGTGACAAGTAACGAGTGCATGGTTCATCGATGTCCGAACTGTCCATATATAGTTTCTTTAAAGAAGTTTCTGCACAACTAATTGACAATGACAATGACGAGGAGGTGTCATTCAATCTGTGGCAGAAAACAGACAGAACAACATTGATCTATCAGACAACAACAATTGAAGAATACAAATTGATGTTATCAGAGGCAATAAACAAGTTAACAGCTCATTCCTACATTGCAAAATGTCAATCAAGATACCTAAAGCAACAAAAGGAAATTTTAGCAAAAAAAACTGCTGTATTGTCTTAGTTGACTTTGCAGAAAACTTCACTTTTGTGATTCAAGATGAAATCCAAAGTTACCATTGGTGCAAAAGTCAATGCACATTGCATTTCGTTGCCTTCTATTTATTAAACAAAAATGACCAAATTGAAGAAAAATCAATTTGCTTCATGTCAGAAGATAATGAGTATGACACTGGTTTTGTGTATGAAGTTCAAACACAAATAGTTAACTATTCAAAAGAATATCATCCTAAAATTTCAAAGATTTCTTTATTTTTCTGATGGTTGTGCTGCACAGTATAAAAACCACAAAAACCTTTACAATATCTGTCTCCATAAAAATGATTTTGACATTGATGCAGAGTGGACATTTTTTGCTACAAGTTATGGTAAGTCATCATGTGATGGTATTGGTGGCATTGTAAAACAATTAACTACAAATGCAAGTCTACAAAGGCCCATAAATGACCAGATATTGAATTGTAACAAAATGTTTGACAACTGTACTAACAATTTAAAGGGGTTATTTTTTTCAAGATTGAAAAAGAATGACTGACAGAATTGCGCACCACTTTGAAAACACGTTTTGAGCTAAGTAGAACAATCCCTGGAACTAGGAGCTATCATCAATTTAAACCAGAATCTATAGATACTATTAGCTTTAAACAAACAAGTGAAGATGTTCATATAACAGGCATTTTTTCTTTTTCTGGTATTCAAAGTTGTCAAAATGATCAGAAAATTAACATTGATGCCTTGAAATTTGGTGAACTCATTATGTGTAAATATGATGCGTTTGATTGGATCAGTATGATCAATGAAATTGATAATATAGAGCAAGATGTTATGGTAACGTTTATGCACCCGCACGGTTCTTTTAATAAACTTTTCTGGCCATCTAGAGTAGATGAGTGTTGGGTTCCAATTACCAACATAACTTGTATAATTGATGCACCTGTAACAACAAATGAACATTTGTATACTTTAACCGTCGATGCATCTAAGCTAATCTTAGCATTATCTTGACAATTTCTTTTTTTTGAATTTTATTTTGTAAATAATTAAAATGGAACAAGCATAAAGCAATAAAATTTTTGAATACAATATTTTCAAAGTTATCTTAAATTTAAGACACATGTGTTTAAAAAAAAAAAAAAAAATTTTTTTGAGAAAATAAGCGAGGCATGGTCCCTAGTACCCCAGCCCCATGGACCTTCTGGTCATCTGACCTGAAACAATTTTAATGCATGTTCATCAGGACTACACAAATGCTGAAAGTTTCAAAGCTCCAACTAGTCTGGAAGATACTGAAAAATCCATCTCAAGATTCTGGTCAAAAAAGTGGGGCATATCCCTCCAGTCCCCTCCCCTAGTGTCTTGGGCCCTTTTTTAATTTTAAAATGCACATTTATTGACACTACATAAATTCCAAAATTTTCATCGTTCCAGCTAGTCTGAAAGGTAGTGAAAAATGTATGGCAAGATTCCACTACAAAATAGTGGGGCCTGTGCCCCGTTAACCATATATGGAAATCCATAAACTTGCAGATCAAAATTTTTATGTTTTCTGAAAGATCATTAAACATAGAATAATGTGTACAATTTTTTTTTTAAATCATTAAGGCCACATGGCTTTCTTTAGCATCAAAATCAGGTATATAAAAAATTGCCTAAATTTATTTAAATTGATAATTACAAGTACTTAAAAATATTTTTTTACATTTCTGATTATTTCATAGGATTCTTCGACCCTGAAAATAGCCAGGTACAAATTTTTAAGTCAAAAGATCAAATGTTTTTAAAGCTATGTGACTTGGAACTTTTAAACAAAGGTCACACGTCTGAGGGGACAAGAGGGACCTGGCCAAGATCAGTTAAAAGTAAAATGATTATATTTCATGATCCTCTTGGAGCTGGAAGCTAAAGTTTTCAAGGATTTTTTGTTTTACTACATCCATTCATCAGATGTCAAAGACAATTTTAAATCACAAGTTTTTCTCCAAAAATCAAAGTAAAAACTCTTTGAAGGTAGTGACCTGTAAAGGAAATGTTCATCAATGTATTGGATCATTACATTGATGAACTTTTGAATGAACTGAGCATCATATTAACTCCAATATGTTTGAATTAATATGATTCTTAGAAAGCATTAAGTTTTTGGAAGGATTTTTTATTTCTTCGTCAAACAAAAATAAAGTTGATAAAATTGAAATA